CCAGGCCCACCCTCACCTCTGCCTGCCTCCCGCAGCTCCCCACGGCAGCTCTCACTGGGGCCAAAGACCTCAGGGCCCTAGGCGCACTAGACACCTTCACTGCTGACCTGGCCCCTCTCCATCGGACCACTGAGCGTCAGAGCCCACTGCCCTCGCCCTCTCCCTGCAGTCATCACCATCACGGCCGCCACCTTTCACCTCCCACAGTCTTACCAGCTCCTAAGCAGCTCTCCAACTGGCCTGCTCTTCTCTACTACCTCTGCTGCCCCCTATATATTCACCATCCTCTTCTCCAGCCCCGGGAGAACCTCACCCTTCTCCGTGACCTCCTCACTCCACTCTTCTGTTCCATCTGTTCCCCCAGCAGCCAGGCTGAATATGAATACTCTTCCTAAAATGCAAATCTAGGCATGCCCCTCCCCTGCTAGAAGCCTTCAATGGCTTCCCCTGGTTGTTCCTGCTAAGTCTGAAAGACCCTGACCCCTCTGGCTCCCCTCGTTCTCACACTGTCCCACCCATTACATTACCACGTTCTCCACTATGCCTGGCAAACTCCTACTCAACCTTCAAGTCTCAGCTTAAACGCCACTTCCTCAAAGAAGTCTTCCATGATTTCCTTCCTCCCTTCCTTCCCACCCAGGACGATGTCTATTAGAAGCTCTCACTGAGCAATGGTAGCCCTGATCACAAAAGATTTAAACAGTTGGACAGTTATTTGCTCAGCATCCCCCTCACCTACACTTGACCTACACTGCAGCTGCTGTGCTTCTCTCTGGGCTCTGCAGTGCTCTCCCCACAGCACCTGGTAACCTAGCCGGCACAAAGTAAACATCTGTGCGGTTTAAGAAAAATTTTTTAATTGATCAGTAAAGGTCAAGAAAGGTACTTGACATCACCAGGGAGGGTTTTTGTTTGTTTGTTTTTCAAACGACACATCCTCCCCTTCCAAAAGGGGGCCCTGGGTCCTGGGCTGAGAATCACTGCCTTAAACAGGAACAATTTCTTTCTTTCTTTTTTTTCCTAAAGATTTATTTATTAGAGAGAGAGAGAGTGAGCGTGCACACCCACACAAGCAGAGGGTGAGGGAGAGGGAGAGAATCCCAAGCAGACTCCCGCTGAGTGTGGAGCATTGAAGCCCTATGCCCACCGGGCTCAATCTCACAACCCAGAAACCGTGATCTGAGCTGAAATCAAGAGTCGGACGCTCAACGGACTGAGCCGCCCAGGTGTCCCAGGAACAATTTCTGACAGGGAAGTCCCAGGGTGTGGGGAGGGAAAAGACCAGAGATAACCTAATACAAGTAGAAAAGATGGAATAAAACCACCAAGTAGGCACAATGGTAGAAGGCTTTCTGGAGAACTCTGCCCTGGTTATTAAGGAAAATAAGAAACATGGAGTAGGAGAAAAAAACTTTCTACATCAGAATGTTCCGTTAATTAAAACAGCCCTGTCTTCCTAAAACTCCCCAAATCAAGCTCCAACTTACAGATAAACAATTTACAAGGCATGTTTATGTATATTTTTAATTTGTGACTCAAAATCACCTTTTAATAAAGTCTTTAGTCCCACTTTACAGAATTCAAAACTGAGGGCTGAAAAGACTGGAAGATTTACCCAAGGTCATGCTCCTAAGCTAACAAGAGGACCAGCAGGAAGCGGAGTACTAGTTTCCTAACTTTTAACCTGAAACTATTCTCACTGCATCACACAATGTTTTACACAGACAATTCATGCCATTTCCTGTCTGGGCAGAAGACAGAGACCCCGGGCTTGCAAGATTTACTCGTGTCGTTTTAAAGCTGGCGTTTGATCTAGAAGGACAGTACAAAGTGCGTTTTTCCTTCAACTGAACTGGCCTAAATTCAATCCTCCCTGGAGAGAAAATGGCAAATGATGCATATACAAACATAATTTCTAAATCACTTTGCCAAGAGGAAAAAAAAGATTCTAGAAAGTTATAGATCTTTCGTGGTAAAGAAACTGCATTTTTTTTTTCCTGACATTTCATTTTTTGATTGCATTTCCTTTTATTTCTCTTTAAACGAAAGAGCCTGGAGATGTTAGCAGCAAACATATGGAGAGTATCGACTTTCATAGTTTAGCTGGATTAGGGTAATTTGGAGGCAGGAGTGAAAAGGGCTCTTTGCGTGGGAGGGAGATCTCTTACTTGGGCTCTTCCCACCTCTGAAAATTATAAACCAAGAGAATACTTAAAAATATATATGTATATTGATATATATATACACATATCAATCATAGGCTAACTTTGGGTTCATTTCTGTCAATTCAAAAACACCTGTTCTCCAGACCAGCTCCCCGCCCCCCCCCCCAAGAGATATAGACAGACAGGTGGACGGGCACGCGCTGGTTCTCTCTCCTCCCGCCCACCCCCTGGCGGGAATAAAGTCACTAGATTCGAGCAGTAAAACAGGGCGAGGTGCTCTCTACAGTGTAAAGCAAGAATGAACAATCACTTACCTCTCCGATTTCGTGTTCACGAAGAACAAAACTCAGTGTGTCTGTTCTGGGCCCAGCCACCAAACGCAGGTAGAGTGGATGCTCGCGGTCTGAGAGCTTACAGGCGTAGACTGCGTAAGCAAACAGGCAGCCCGTTGGAGTATTTTGTCGTCCCCCGGACCGTACGCCCCGCTTTCCAGCCCCTCCTCCAGATCAAGGCAACGGCCCCCCTCACCCAGCCACCGAGTCACCGTCCTCCTCCTGCCCCTCTCACCGTGAACAGCCTGCGGCGGAATGAAATCTACGCTACCTCCGTTCTAACTGCACAAATACACACTGTGCCTCGATTACAAAGGAAATAATCCTCCAGAATGAATCTAAATGGGCATTAGTTAGTCCCAGGATGGGCCTGTAATTCATTCTGCTCCTCCTTTCAGAAAGCAAGAAAGTACACTTACAAAAGCATCTGCAACCCCTTCAAGAAACAGTAAAAATATACCATGCAAAGGACACAAAATCAGAGCGAATCTGTCTATAGATTAACTTAGGATTGTGAGCAGCTACAAACAAACCAAGCAGTCCGAAGGCGGGCTCGGCTGGCGGCAGACACAGCCGTGTGTGTCTCCTGTGAGCGAGACAGACACACGCACACGCACGCACGCACGGTCCCAGCACCGCCTGCCGCGATGAATGTGTCTGCCGGCCCACGACGCTATCACCGTCCGCCCGCGCAGCTCCAGCCCAGCGGGCAGGCACCGAAGCATCGTAGGAGATGGAAACCCCACGCTGCTGAGCCCAGGGCCTCCTGAGGGTAGGAACCTTGGCCTGTCCCTCTTTGTATTCTGCAGGGCCCAGCCCATGGTTTGGGCTCAAAAAAATGTATGCACGCTCAGCAACTAGCTGCGTTTCAGCCCCAAACAACTGAAGGATATTTCTAGCATGTCCAGTTACTATATCCTCCTCCGCTGCTGCTGTGGGCTCTACCCCCAACAGTTTAAGTAGCTGACCGCCCACACAGCTATACCATTTTCAAATGAGCACTTGGTGACTCACTGAATCACGGTCATCCACCCCTGGTCATCAATTGCTGCTCCACTACCTGACTACCATATTCAGTTTCACGCAGTTACTTAATACCCTCTTCCTACCCGCTGAATGTGGGTACTAAGTTCACACAGGCAGACCGCAGAGGATAATGCCATCCACCCACTGTATGTGCCTCTGGGGGGCTGGGGGGCCACATGCACCAGGGTCATAGCTAGTGAGGCGAGCTCAGGAAACACAAGACACCAGTAAGTCTGAAACGTGCAGTAACACACACGTGCCTCCCCGTCCTCCAAGTCTCCGAGGACGCGAGTCCCCCAAACCACCCCACGTGTGGACGCACATCAAATGTGGAATGTGCTAATGAAACCATCAAGCACAGAGGCATCCTTTTCTGTTCTGAAGAACATTAAAATTAAGGCTTAAAAAAAAAAAATTCAAAGCTATCCCCCCGTGCACACATCACAAACTCCTCCACAAATGCCCATCACGTGTGGGTGCCTCGCAGCTCCTCAGACCCACAACTGTCTGACTCAAGAACAGGAAAGCCAGGAATTAAAGGTGTAAGCCAGGATCACCACAGCTTCCAGAATCTGTCCCTGGGCTCTGAGACACACACACCCAGCCGTGTTCCTGCTGCTCCTGAGGACAGACAGAAAAGCAGAGACCATTTTCATCTCAGGCCTGGCAGCATACCTTGGTCTTCCCTATGACAACGCTTATAAAGTGCAAACTTGGCAGGGCTCTCGGTCACGAGAAACTTCTTGAGCAGGGCCTCGATCACTTCCCCGACGGTGTTCGTGCTGCTGATGTGCAGCGTATTCATACAGCCGTTGCTACTGGGAGCGAGCTTTCCAGAAGTCTGGGGGGGCCTGCAGAGCTCCATCTGGACTTTAATGAAGCCAGTGTAAATCCCATTTGAATTCTGAAGCAGGAAGAAAAGCACACGGTTAGAGAGAAGGCGAGACCCTCTTTCTCTTGTTCTGTGCTTTTACCGCTCTGTGACAGAGCTTCACTGAAGATCGGCCCTAAGGAAAGGATCTCAGAGGGAGGTTACCACCATGCCGGCGACGTGCTTCCAGAGCCAGGGTCTGTAGGGCAGATGTGGCGACAGAAGCCTCCTCGTGCTGTGGGGACTGCGGTCCGAGACGGACGCCTCTGAAGCCGACATCTGAGAGGTCAGGGCCCACTGGAGCGGTTACGGTCCAGCAGAGCAGAGGCCAGCCAAATCCCAAGACGCACGCGTGAGTGGGGGACATGCCGGGGCCAACGGCTCAAAGGAAACATCTGCAGCTGGTGACCAGCTACTACACAGAAAAGGAAGGTGGCGGGGCGCCTGGCGGGCTCAGTCGGTTACGCGTCTGCCTTTGGCTCAGGTCATGATCTCGGGGACCTGGGATCGAGCCCCTGCATCGGGCTCCCTGCTCATCAGAGAATCTGCTTCTCCCCCCCTCTGCCCCTCCCCCCCACTCATGCTTGCACGTGCGCGCTCTCTACCTCTCTCGGTAAATAAAATCTTAAAAAATAAATAAGAAAGAAAAGGAAGGTCTCTGGGGACTTGGGAACACCTAAACAAGCCTGGAGGGGACAGTACACAAACAAGCCATCTCATTCCTAGCGGCTATCGCGGTATGTCCTAGATTATCAATTTCACCGAAACGTCTGGACACAGCACATACCCCGCACAGCGCGTGACGACGCCCCTCGGGTGCCTCAAGCAGCAAGAGTGCAAAACCGGTTGAAGCTACAATGTGAACTATGGTCATTATAAGCACTTGTCTTTTTTGTCTTAACGTGGTGTTTATAACTCCTTCTGCATACTATTTTTTACCCATTTTATTGAGGTATGCTTCTTATACAAATAAACTGCACATATTTAATACACACAACTTGCTGAGTTTAGCACTTGTCTTAACTGATGGTAGACTTACTATTTCTTAGTTACCAAAAATAGTAATAATGGTCTGATCTTCACTTTTTCTTTTTACATCCAGTATATTTAGAAAAAAATGTATTCTAATGTTTTATTAAAACAAAGCCTCAGGTGTTATACAGAAATGAGACAGTTAAATTAAAACATTAAAAAAACCTCCTTTTTGGTCCATTATTTTTCTTCCTTTCCGCAAGATCAATTTACAATACGGATTCACTTGTTCATTCTTGTGGAAAGTATTATACAACTCTTCAAATTTCTTTTTATGCAACAAGATGGAAACTTGCATGTTTTCATCTCCATGGGGGAGGGAAGAAGAACCCATGACAAGTGAAGTATTTCTCCTTTGATGAAAAGTGCATTTGAAACAATTATCACTGTTGGAGTAATGAAGAATAATCTTGGGATCCTGTGTCCCGCTTCCCCCCTTTTGGGGGAGTCCCACTGGGGAGGGATCCTTTACCATAAGGGCTTATATGTAACGCTCCTCCCCAAAGGCCACAGAATTCAGTAGGGCCTGTTCTAAACCAGTCACCCTGTCCTCTACTGAACTGTCAGTTCACAGTCAATAGCCTGAGAGGCAGAAGTCCAAGGGCCCTGGAAACGGGTACTAAGGGCTGGCAGGTGCCTTGAGGAAAGTCACCAAATGTTGAGGACGAGCAGAGACGCCAGTCCAGTTTGAGGCACATGAATACTCTGGCTCTGTTGCTGGCTCTCCTTCTGTTGTCACTAAGCCCTGTGCCGCCTTCCTCCTACATCCTCACCCCCCACTGAGCTTCAGTGTTTGCTGCCACACTGCAGAAGCCTGAAACAACGTGTAGGAGGCTATTACATTCGCCATCTTTCATGACAACCAGCCCAGAGAAATCTTAGCTCAATTATTTTCTTTTTCTTTTTTTTTTTTTTAAAGATTTTATTTATTTATTTGACAGAGAGAGACAGAGTGAGAGAGGGAACACAAGCAGGGGAAGGGGAGAGGGAGAAGCAGGCTTCCTGCAGAGCAGGGAGCCCGATACGGGGCTCGATCCCAGGACACTGGGATCATGACCTGAGCTGAAGGCAGACGTTTAACGACTGAGCCACCCAGGCGCCCCAAGCTCAATTATTTTCTAAACCATGGGCATGAAATCCTTTTCCTGACACTTCCATACTTATTTGCACAAGATAAAACTGATCTACGCCTTATTAGAATTTGAGGTACCAAATGGCAATGGCAATACTCAATGCTAAAAATCCTTCGGAGGGTCAAAAAAACTTTTACAATAAAACTTTAAAGTATTAACTGATGGTGTGATAAAGCTACTTTAAAATATAGCTTCAATTTGAGAGCTGCAGAAATACTCTATTGTCCTGCATACCTTGAACATTAAACTTCTGCAAATGCTATTCAGAGATTTTAAAACATACAGACGGTCATACCAACAGTCTGTATTTGTCTTTTGACATGTGTCAGCGCAAACAGGACTATGGGTGCTTACCAAGGTCATCTTCAACTTGTCTGTGACTGCTAGGTTGTATTTATGAACTTTCTCTTTGATTTCCTCTTTGCTGAGGTAATTGTGGGTCTCCTTCTCTTTCTCCACATCCTAGAAGAAAAACAAGCCATGGTACACGTGAACAAGCACAGAAAAAAATGCAGATAAGCCAGGATTCTTTTTACATTCCACACAAGAACTCTGGAGCACTTCACCTTGACATACACACCCAGGCACTGACACACACGCCCTCTCACTTTCAGATCTCAGGGTCACCCACCAAACATGGCTTTCATTCCTTCAGACTAAGTCCTCCTGAGGGCTATATCGAATAAAACTAACCCGTCAGCAGCTAAAAGCCACACTTCACTTAGTATTATCTTGTAAAGCTGTCTTTGCTAAATTTCCCTTCTGCACAAACACCATTCTCTAAGAGTACTTGCAAGACTGGCCATTTCCATTTTAAACAGTATTTACGGACACATACCAAACGCTCCTCTTTAGCACGTTCTATGAACTTTATGGTCTTTACAGCTTCACCATATTCACAAAGCAAAAAGTAATGGTTAATTAGTAATATCAACTGGCAATCAATGACCTAATTATACACAACTACCAGAGGGTGATTTACCTTCCAAACAAATCCTCCTGTCAAGATACAAGTAGCCAGATTTCCCCTACCCACCCACTCTCACCGTCCCCAACCCCTCCAATCTCACCCCAGCTCTGACTCTCCACACCATGGACAGGACGGTATTAGTTGAACCCTCTTACCACTGAAGGATTCGCCGATGGTTTACTGTCTAAAGAGCTCAACCAACACATGACATTATGCAACCGCTATGCAATTACAGACGGCCGAACCCCAGTGTGCTGGGACCCCAGGAAGCCAACTATCCAAGACACCTGCCTTGTGTTGTGTTTAATTCTCCCAACGACCCACCCAAGCAGACGTTATTCCAGTTTCCAAAGGAGATCAAGTTCTAAGTAAACTCACCTGCCAGTAAAAACTTAGATGTTCCGTGGCAGTGGTGCTTGGACCCAAAGCCTACCAACCCTCAGTAACGCCGGTTCCTGAGACCTCTCCGGGGGTGTGTGGCTTGTGCGGGGACAACCCAACTAGGTTAACAGACCAAACTCCATTTTAACCGGGTCCTCTATGTTGTTTCCACTAACACAAACAGGTCCCCACTGTTCCCGTGTGGGTGTCTGAAGATTTAAAGAAAGGCTACATGATCACAGGTAACCCTGAGTAGCAGCTCAAAGGATGAAGGGTCCTAACTGTCTTCAAGTCAAAAAGAGGAAGAGCAACTAATATGGACTGATTTATCCCCCACAATAAAAGGTCTGAAAAGGTGTCTCTTTTCAGGCCATCCTCACAGCCAGAGGCTGCCCGAGCCGGCCTCGGTCCTCATATTCTCACGGGGAGCCAGTGCTCTGAGCCGCATGGGGTGGCGACCAAAGAACTTGCAGGAACACTTTAATAAAGAACATAAAAGGGCTCTAGGGGCAGCCTGGGGGGCTCAGCCGGTCAGGTGTCTGACTCTTGACTTCAGCTCAGGTCATGATCTCGGGGTTGTGGACCGAGCTTCCCGCTCAGAGCAGAGTCCACTTGTCCCTCTCCCTCTGCCCCTCCCCCCGCCTGAGCGCACATGTGTGCTCTCTCTCTCAAATAATTTTTAAAAAATCTAAAAAAAAACAACAAAAAAACATAAAATGGCTCTTGATCCATTCAGCTGTCAAGTTTTTTGAATTCAGAGCCTGAATATAGGGGTATGCTGACTATAAAGTAGGTCAGTAACTTCCCAAGTTCAGCAGCATCGGAGTGAAGTCGGACGGGTCCCTGTTGGTAATGCTGGAGAAACAGAGACCGCTTCCTCGTTCCCCAGCGGGAGGAGTGAGCCTCAAAGTCTCTTGGGGGGCATTCTGTCTGCCAACATAAAACCCCAAAGCAATCCTATTTTTGGTGTCAACGGTTAGGAAAGGGGGAAAAAAAAAAAAAGCTGTACATTAAAATAACTTTTCAGAAGCTTCAAGGACGATTTCTAAGGAAAATCAGAACACACATTGCACCTCTCTGCTTGCCCGGCTCTTTCCCATCCACAATTTGCTGGCCACAGGCCACGGCTGACAAGGATAATGAGGCTTTGTTCCGACGTTCATTTTTCAGTACAGACTGTCCAAAGACTCTCCAAAGCAAATACTAAGAAGTGGGCGGTAAGAGGTCCCCACTTCACAAGTGTGAGATGTGGCCCCGGGAGGGCACGAGGGCGCTGTGACAAGGAAGCCCAGTTCCAGCAAGGCCAGGGCTCTGACCCAGCATCTGTTGCCCACTGATCCCGTGCCCTCAGCTCACTGACCCAAGTCCACTCCCTCACTTCCTATCAAATCAAAGGGACCAGCGTGAATCATCTCGAAGGTGCTTCCTAGCCTAACAGGACAATTTTGCAAAATCTGCTGCAGCTCTCACTGGTGTGGCCTATGGAGCAAGATGGTTCCATTTAAGAAATCAAGGCAACCAAAGGCCCACCATTAAACATGTACAAAATAATTTTAAAAAAAAATGTATAAAATAGGGGCGCCTGGGTGGCTCAGTTAAGCGTCCGACTCTTGATTATGGCTCAGGTCGTAATCTCAGGGTCTTGAGATCGAGCCCCACCTCCCTCAGCGTGGAGCGTGAATAAGATACTCTCTCTCCCTCTCCCTCTGCTCCTCTCCCACACCCCACTCTCTATCTAAAATAAATTACTGTTTAAAAATGAACAAAATAGCTAACTGCACAAATACTGTAGCATACATCCACCCTAGGGGCTTACTGCCTGAATAAGAGATGAGAAGCCTAAGAATGAAAAAGAGAAGGGATAAAGAGAGTGATTAAGACCAAAGAGGCAGGGTCAAATCAATTTAGTGAGTTCCTTTTTTTCTTTAAGAATTTATTTTTAAGCAGTTTCTATACCTGGCGTGGGGCTCAAACTCACAACCCTGAGATCAAGAGTAGTATCCTGACTGAGCCAGCCAGGTGCCCCTAGTGAGTTCTTAATTGCAGATGCTTAGCTAAGCACCCATCATCCCTAGGCCTCCTCATGTCAGCATTCCCAGAAGCTTGGGGAAGATCGAAGGACCTAGCTGGTCTGGAAAGAGAAACTTACCCTGGATCACCCACACAGGCATAACTGAGACATGCTCGCGTAACCACTATCCTTCCTTCTCAGAGATTAAAAACCAAGGAAACCATAACGAGCAATAACAGAAAAGAGGTGGCCCCAAGGACCTCCAAGATCCTTTCAAGGTAGAACACCCTATGATTAAAGGATCAACTGGAAAATAGATCCCAGAGAAGCAGTGAACACCTAAAAGGCTGGGACCCTGATTTTTTTTAGTTCAGATATAACTGACATTTAACACTGTATTTGTTTGAAGTGTACTGCAAAAGGATTTGACATATGTATATACTGCAAAACGATGACCACAAGTTAACAGGCGTCACCAACTCACATGATTACATTTTTTTTTCCTGTGATGAGAACTTGTAAGATCTCCTCTCTTATGTGAAGTTTACTGACCTAGCGATTGCACACCTCGGCCACAGACCAAGGGCGGCTCTCCGAGCAAATATTGACGGAGCTTCTGCTGTGCGCCAGGCCCTCGCCGGAGCACGGGGACGTCAGGAACCACACCTCCACCATCACAGCGCTTACTGTCCGGCACAGGCTGAGTAGCAGTGAGGAAGCGCAAGGGGAAAAAAGCTTCCGAAATGATAACTCATCAACTTCTGGGTGGAGGAGTCTGGAAGCAGGGGGAAAGGCACAGAAATCACAAGCTCAGGCCCCGGAGCGGAGAACACTGGTTTCTTTTAGTATCAGAACTGGAGGAAGTCTCTGGAGCTGGAAAACTTCCAAATCTTTACCCCTTTAAAAAAGAACACCCCTCTTTCCTCTCCCATAGGGAAGAATCCTCCTGCCCTTCCTCTGAATGCAATGCCTTTGGGAAGACGGCCTAAGGAGGAGAAAAAACATGCAACCCAGAAGGGAGAGAGTAGGTACAAGGGTGCAAAAGGTGAACATAAGGAGGGGTTTTTCAAAACCTGTGTGGCAAGCGCACACACATAAAACTGAGAAAACAGTACAGACATTAACCCTGACCTGCACTGGCAAGGACAGGAAACGCATGGGGCGCAGCCGTCTGAGCGCAGCCTTAGTGTTCCCGCAGCGCCCCTGGCCGCCTGTGTGAGCAGCCGCAGGCCCTCCCTTTTATTTATAAGCCACTCTTCTTTTACAGTCTCCCAACCCTCCAGAATCTCCTTTCTCCCGCGGAAAATGATAAACCCTAGCCTCTCCTCCCGTGTCTGCACCCAGCAAGCCCGGAGGCTGCTCTGGAGTTTGCCTGCTTCCTGGGTGGGGTCACCGGGAACTCCCCCTCACAGGGCCCCGCCCCGCCGCTCGCCCCCCGCAGGGCCGTTTCAGGTGAAATCCAGACCGCCCTGTACAACTCTGGGCCAAGGGTCTGAGAACCTTCTTGCTAACTTCTCTGTAACTCGAAATGTTATCTCAACTTAACATTTTAAGTTAAAAATCTAACCACGACGACAAGATAAAGCGCCCAGGAGGACCGGCTCCCGCTCCACTGTGGGCGGGGGGCACGTGGCTACTGCTGGGGCACCGCTGGGTCTCAATCACAGCTCTGCCCGTCCTAGCTGTGTGACCAAAGGCAAGCTATTTAACCTCTCGGAGTCTGTTTCCCATCTCTGTAGAATGCGCAAACCAGGGCGCCTGGGTGGCTCAGTTGGTTAAGCCACTGCCTTCGGCTCAGGTCATGATCCTGGAGTCCCGGGATCGAGTCCCACATCGGGCTCCCTGCTCGGCAGGGAGTCTGCTTCTCCCTCTGACCCTCCCC